TGAAAGTAATAATTGAATAAGGATGGGCACAGTAACACAATGCAGCCTTTGACCCTTTGGGGTGTGTGTGTCTCTCTCTGCCTCTTTTTGGACATTTTTTCTTGTCCTAGCCATGAAAAAGATAGCATAAAGAGCCAATTAAAAAAAGACCTAAGTGTTTGAAACACGTATCAGTATTTTAACACCATCCCTGCACTATCAAACATGCAGTTGTGTTTCAAAGATGCCCCAAGCCTTTGGAACTCCCTCCCACTGGAAGCCAGACTTGCCCCATCTTTGCAGTCCTTTCATAAGCAGGCAAAGATCTTCTTCTTCAGGCAAGCTTTCCCTTACTGACTTGCTGCTTGGGATGGGATTTTGAATGGACTGTTGTGACTTATTGCTTTGAACGTGTTTTTGGTGTTGATTTTGTTTACTGTTTTTAGTGGGGTATTTGTTCCTGTAAATTCCTTTTTCAAGCACCTTTTTAAGTGTGGCTGTCAGGGACTGAACCTGAAACTTCCTGCATACCGGACTTGCTGCCAGCCTCTGAATTGAGTTGCTCCCGTCACGTTCTCCATTGCTGATGCCATCATTGGCCTTAGGTGGCATTAGGTTATGAATTCCAGGCAATAAATTTAACTATTATTGGTCCTTGCATACCGGTGTTTGCATAAGGTTTGAGTAACTTACCCTGGCTAATTGAAAGGGGCCAAGGAGTGTCTGGATCACATGCTTGGTCATGTGCCTGATTTGTTTAACCAGAATGTACCCCAGCACTTCATCAATCAGTTGCAGGTAGCCATGGAAGTTATTCAAATCTTACGCAAGTGCCAATAAGATTTCAATGAAAATGTCTATAAATAGAAAGTACTTTCTTTCTGTCTCCCTTTCAGCAATGAGCACATTACAGTGGAGTCTCTACCTACAGACTTAATCCATATTGGAACGGTGTCCGTAGGTTGAAAAGTCCGTAGGTAAAAAATGCATTCCCCATAGGAATGCTAAGATTTCAATGAAAATGTCTATAAATAGAAAGTACTTTCTTTCTGTCTCCCTTTCAGCAATGAGCACATTACAGTGGAGTCTCTACCTACAGACTTAATCCATATTGGAACGGTGTCCGTAGGTTGAAAAGTCCATAGGTAAAAAATGCATTCCCCTTAGGAATGCATTGAAAACCCGTTAATCCATTCCAGCCCTTTCTCCCCCACCAGGCAGCTTCTCCTGCCTTTCTTTCCCGCCGCCCAGCTTCTCCCAAAGGGCTGCCCCACTGGTGCTTTCAGCAGCGGAGAAGCTGCCCGGTGGGGGAGAAAGGCAGGAGCTGATCCGGTCTTTCTCCCCCACCGCAAGGCTTCTCCACGGTGCCATTGGGCACAGCGCTTTGGGAGAAGCCTCGCGGTGGGGGAAAAAGATGCCGGCCACAGAGACTGGCAAAACATTAGGAAGAACAACCTTCAGAACACAGCCAAAGAGCCTGAAAAACCCACAACAACCATTAGATCCTGGTCGTGAAAGCCTTCGCGAATACATAAGTTAAAATCATAGGTAGTTCATTTTTGCACCATTGAATACAGACAAATTGGCCAATGCACCCTGCAATTTATAGCTTCCTAGCTCAATTTTTTTCTGGGAAAGGCTCAATACTTATCAGCACCCCTTATTGCCCAAGACAAACATCCTCAGAAACATCTCTCTCACAAGCTTTATTTGTTCAGCAACAGCAAAGCCCATTATCCCTTTCTTTCATATCTCTCTCTGCCCTTGTCTTGTCTTTTTCTTCATTTTTTTTCTTTTTAGAGTAAGAATAGAAAATAAATGAAGATAGGTGTTTTTGAAATATTGACACTAAATGTGAAAAGTTTAAACATTCAAAATAAAAGGAGGAAGTATGCCAGATTTTGTCTAATGAACATGTACGTATATATGAGTTGTTTGCAGGAAAATAATAATAATTGTATGCCGTCAAGTCAATCTTGACTTTACGGTGACACTTTTCAAGGTTTTCTAGGTAGAGAGTACTCAGACATGGTTTACCCTTCCCTTTGGTGGGTGCCCTTGGGGCTACACAGACTGCCTCATCTCCTGGGAGGCACAGTAGGGGATCAAACTCCCAGCCTCTGGTTCTGCTGTTAGATACCTAACACACCGAGCTACCCAAGCCATCTTTTCTACAGGAGACCCACATGAAAGAAAGGTATTGAATGGCTATTAGAATCAACAAAATTAAGTACAGTCTATACAGGATCACATATGCTGCGGCATAGCGTGGGTCCCAGCACCAGAGCAAGTACAGTACTGTGAGTCATGGGTCACATGCCAGCTGTGTGGGGCAACATGTGGACAAGGTGGGGCACGGGTAGGGCAGAAGAAGCCCCCAGGGTGGTGCCATGAAACAGGCACGGAGTGGAACCGCTTGACGTCCACACTAGTCGTGGTGGGTCTGGCGCCCTTAGCAGCTTGGATTTGGACTGCTGGGATGGGGAAGAAGAGCATGAGAAGTGGCTGTGAGAGTGTGCCATATGGAGCAGCCTGCATGCCCCTAAATTTGCACCCAGGTGACTGCCCCTATAACCCCCCCCCATGCCATGCCACTGCTTTGTGGCCCGTAAAAATGTTGCACCTGGGGCGTCCACCCCGTGCCCCTCACACACTATGCCAATGTATATATGACCAAAAAAAGGGGGAGACGGTAACCATCATCATTCAAAAACTCTCAAGTGAATGTGTTGGGCATTATAGAAAATCAGAATAGCAGAATCTCATGCTGACGGGCTTAATAGGTAACAATATATGTCTTTTTACTTGCCTTTATGATCTACTTGAAACACAAGCTAGATTTTGTAGAATCATTATTAAATGAATTGATAAATTTACAGAAAGACATATTGTTATGAATGGCATTTCAGCATGGTTATTGCCTATAATATAGATAGATAAAGTAGCAGTGACTAAGCTATGGATGTTTCTGAAGTCTGTACAAAGACACCAACTGCATGGAGGGTAATAAGTCTTAATAAGAGAGAATATACCTTGCATTCTCCTCCACACAATTCCTGTTTCCTCCACCCAGATAATGGCAAGGAGTCTCTATTAAGACAATGGTTTACACATATCACACATCAGTGATATTAAAATGAAAGACTGGGAAAAATGCCTTTTCTCAGCAGACACATCATCATCATCATCATCATCATTTATATTGCGCTCTATACCAGAGCACATTCCAATAGTCAAAACCAGTTAAAATACAACCATAACATAACTACAATGATAAAAACATACAGTAAGTAATGATCATTTAATAAGGCAATAAACAAACAATCAAAATAGCTATAATGACAATATAATAATCAAAGTCCAGTAATTCTATCCCAATAATTGCCTGTTTCCTTTGCCAACCCCTATTGCTCCAGGTTGAACAATGAAAACTGGTTTCTTTTGTGAGAAGTGCAAGAATGTGTAGAAAGAAATATTGATTAGTTTTTGAATATAATTTAGTTCACCAGTACTATGGGATACTTTTACAGCTGTTAGTTGGGGGTTGTATGTGGAGTGTATTCAGAATTCCTATGAATTGAAATGAAGATATATGTTAAAATAACAGGAATTTATAAGGCAGTAAATCAATCATATAACACAATTGTAATTAATCAAGCAAAGAGGGGAAACAATTAGTTAAAATATGTGTGGCAAACATTTGCTCCTCCAGATGTTAGACTGAACCCCCCATGAGCCCCAGCCAGCATAGCAAAGGGTAAGGAATAAGGGAATAATGAGAGCAGTATTCCATTTATATCTGGAAGTGAACAACTGCCTGATAGTGGTTTAGATGTCTCGCTTCTGAGCCAGAGGTTGGGAGTTTTATTCCCCCACTGTGCCTCCTTGACAGAAGCTGGACTCGATGATCCAGAGGGACCCTTCTAGCTCTGCAGTTTTAAGATGATTATAACAAGTTTCCTTTTCCTGATCCAGAGCTTGGAAAAACTAGTGTTTTGGATTGCAACTATCCAAAAGGTCCTAATCACTATGGCAACTCTTCTTTGTTACATTGTGATAGCAGCTGCCTTCTCCTTATAGTAACGAAGTGCATTTCCCCCTCCTCTGCAGCTCTTGACAGTTGTGGGAGAAAACAGGGACCCGTCTAACGTGGAAATAGCAACACACAGTTGTTTCAATGGGGTAAGTCAAAAGAATGCAATAGAGAACTTGAACCATATCTCAGCAGTCACCTTTGCTAACAGAAAAATGTACTTCTAAGTGCAGTACAACAGTTCCTATACAGACGAAGAGTAAAGGATATGTCATTGGAGACCAAGACTGAGATCACCCATACTGTGGTATTCCTGAGTACTATGTACAGATATAAAAGCTGGACAGTGAAGAAAGCTATTTGTTGGATGAGGGGGAATGATTCATTCAAAATGTAGTGCTGGAGGAAATACCATGGACTGTCAGAAAAAAATGCATGGGCTAGATCAAACCAAATCCGAACTCTCCAAGAAACTAACATGACTAAACTGAAGTTGTTGTACTTTGGACATGGCTCACTGGAAAAGGCAATAATGCTGCAGCACCAAAGAGGAAGACCAAATAAGAGATGGCTTGATGAGATAAAGCAAGCCACGGCCTTAAGTTTTCAAGATCTAAGCAAAGCTGTTGATAAGAACTTTAGGTAAAGGTAAAGGTAAAGGTTCCCCTTGACAATTATTTGTCCAGTCGTGTTCGACTCTAGGGGGCGGTGCTCATCCCCGTTTCCAAGCCATAGAGCCAGCGTTTTGTCCGAAGACAATGTTCCGTGGTCACATGGCCAGTGCGACTTAGACACAGAACGCTGTTACCTTCCCACCGAGGTGGTCCCTATTTATCTACTCGCATTTGCATGCTTTCGAACCGCTAGGTTGGCGGGAGCTGGGGCAAGCGATGGGAGCTCACTCCGTGGCGTGGATTCGATCTTATGACTGCTTGGTCTTCTGACCCTGCAGCACAGGCTTCTGCGGTTTAGCCCGCAGCGCCATACAGCTGGCTATAAGAACTTTTGGAGGCCACTAATTCATTAAGTAATCCTATGTCAGAAGCAACCTGCTGACACATAACAACAATGACATCAATATGTATAGTGATTTCTATTCCCAGATGAAATCATTTGGTGGATCCCATTAAGATCTCATTCCATGGACTTTAAAGATGGCTGTCACTACAAATCTTTGAGGCCACAGCATTATCCTTAGGGTTGCTTCTAGCATGATGCCACTCACCACAAGTTATCCAACAGTTCCATTTGCACTCCTCACCACGGCAGCTGATATACAGTTACATCTGCATGAGTTCAGTGGAGCTTACAGCTAAGGTAAAATTGCCATATGGCTGTGACCTCAGACAGTATTTCTTCAAAATATATCACTCACACCCAATTGCCTAATAAACTAATGCAATAACTGAAATGAGAAGACTTTCCTGCAGCAATCAGATATAATTTCTAAAGCATAATTTCTAGCATAGTTATGCTACAAACTCCCCCACAATGAGGTGATGTGGCCCCAAACTGTGAAGGAGCAAAGGGAAGCTGGCGATTTCATGCTGTTTAAAATAAGATCTGAGAGTGTGACTCCTGCCCAGGACTCACCAGGTTCCACAAGCCAGTGCACAGCACTGGCTGTCTCCAGAGTAACAGTGAAATCTGTCTTCTTACTTTCTTAATCCCATTTTATGAGAGGTTTGAATGATTCCTTACTTACTTCCACAAAATGCGTAAAAGGAATGGTTTCTTAAAGATCGCAATAAATGATAGGCTATTGATTCCTATTGATTACTCCAACCAATCACCTTCAAAAGGGACCTTTCTACCAGCCAGATGGACAGATGTCAAGCAAATTTCTAGAGGGAGTGCTCCTGGAGGCATAGGGGTGGTGTTTGTTTCAGAGTTGTTCAAAATTCACAAAGTTCTATATGTCTGAATGGAAAAAAATTACATCTTAAAAAGCTTAATGCTGGAAAAATCGGAACTGGGGAATCCATCCAGGTCTGGATTTTGAGGGCTGCATTGATTACTGGGTTTCTGCCTGCAGATCTTGTCCAGTGGGGCTCTGTCACTATCAGGACTTTCCAAATCTAAATCTGCCTTAAGGCTCCACCTCCAAGAGCAGAGCCAGGCCTTTTCTGGCCAGAATTAAAAAAAAAAATCTGGGGAAGGTCTCTGGTGGTGCCTTAGGGAGAACAAAAATAACCCTGGAGGAGCACATGTTGCCTATGGGCCGGACTTTGCACATCCTTAGATTGCATTATCAATAGTACCCCCCAAGCCGTGTGTACTGCCAGAACCTCTAGGATATCCTGAATGCATCTGAGAAAGTGAGCTATGGACTGCAAGAGTTCATGCCATAATAAACTGCTCAGGTTGAACGATGCTGTGGCTAAAATCCTGTTCACATTGTGAAGTCCTGTAAGGCTGATAATGTCACCAGCCACAACTATTTTTTAAGAATTAAAAAAAAAAACAATTTCCCCCAAGGGTCTCATGGAATCCACTTCATTGTAGGGAAGCCATTTGTGGCTGTGGGACAAGGGGGAAATCTTTAATTTCTCTGCCCACCCCATCCAAACATTCTCAGCTCCTTATCTTACATTTACTGTGATTTGTTTTGTAATTGATCACTGGATGATAAACATGGGCTTAGTTCACACGTCTGATCACTGAGGCTTGTCGCTCAGGGAGGGAGGGAAAACTGGTTAATTGCAGAGGATGCACTCCATGTAATGTTCAGTTTGACCCCTTGCCTTACATGTGCCACCTGACTCTTTATTGTATTGGAATGTAAGTATCTGCACAGGGGTTTTTTTAGATGGCACTACCATAGCAATCTTGAGAGTCCCCTGGACTGCAAGGAGAACAAACCTTTCAATTCTAAAGGAAATCAACCCTGAGTGCTCACTGGAAGGACAGATCCTGAAGCTGAGGCTCCAATACTTTGGCCATCTCATGAGAAGAGAAGACTCCTTGGAAAAGATCTTGATGTTAGGAAAGTGTGAAGGCAGGAGGAGAAGGGGACGACAGAGGACGAGATGCATGGGCAGTGTCATCGAAGCAACCAAGATGAATTTGACCCAACTCTGGGAGGCAGTGGAAGACAGGAGGGCCTGGCGTGCTCTGGTCCATGGGGTCACGAAGACTCAGACACGACTAAACAACTAAACGAAACAAACCATAGCAATCAGTGAATTAGTTAAGAGCCATAACGTCTTAAGGTGTTTCCAAACAGAGACCCATAGGGTATCGGTCACGTTCTTTGCTCCAGAAGCCAGTCTTAATAAGGAACCAGATTTTGCCTTCTGTGTGTTGTGATGACTGCGACACAGTCCTCTTGAAGTCCCTGGGATTCTCTTCCAGGTTCTGAGTTCAGCCATTGGAGAGGAGAGATTCTTGGCATGGCTCCAGTCTGAACCTGCACTCCTCTGCTGGCTCCCGACCTGCTACAGATTGTCAGCAACAAAAATGGTCACCCACTGGGTCCAATGCAACATCTGCAAGAGGTTTCCTATCACTGGACTAAGGTGCGGCTGACTTTCCTGGGCTTTCAACAATGTACAGTGGCCATAGGCCTCTGTATTCCATAAAGCTTACAGCCTGAGAGCCTGCATTCAGGCCATTTTAGCAACTGGTCTGAAAGCATGTGAAGGAAGGACAGCTTTCCTCTGAGCATATGAAACAGGAGTAGAAACTGTGTAGCTCCCCCCCAATAAATTTCCGCAGATCCTCTAGATCCCTATTGAAGCACACACACACACCCTGCATCCTTCCCCTGCTGAAAAAAGGAGTGTTTGCTCTTCTAAAGCCTTGGGGACAGAGGCTCTCCTTCTAAACAAGGTGGAGCCTGCTGACCTTTTAAAATCCCCCCCTCCTTTTTAAAGAGGATCTTTACAAATCCATACTGGGCTTCTGGAATACGTCTCTGCCACCACCCATTTTGCAACATAAAGGTGGTTCTTCCCAGATCCTAGGAGAAGGAAATCATCTCCCAGACCCAGAAAGCTTGCCCATTCCTGATGTAAACAGTATTCAATTTACATCAGGAATGATGTAACAAAAACTTCTTGCAAATATATTAAGCCAAAATTCTTGTTGAACGTTAAGTAGGGGATATCAGACAGTCAGCCATTCTTTCCCACTGAGGGTGAATCACACACCAGCCTGATCACACCATCCAAATATACCCCAGTTCTAATGATTCTTTTCATACTTCTGTTGTACTGAATCACAGTAGTGTGGTATATATACTGGGGCAAGTGGTCCCATTTGTTTTAACATAACCAGTTCATTTCTTCCTATTTGAAATGTTACAGCTGGCTATACCATGGAACTGATTTATTTTCTCTCTTGTCTCCTGGGACATACACATAAGTAGCACGCTGTTCCAAGTCCTCCATACAGAGCACGTTACCACAGTCTTTCGAGACTGAAGGATGCCTAATGAGCTAATATATACATTGCTATGTCTAGAAGGGGTTCCCATTCAGGACCATTTTATCCATGGTGCCAGCAGCTTTTGAAGAAATGCATTGCACACAATGGACCTGGCTGCCCGTGCATCCCTCCCTCCTTCCACCCACTGGCAAAGGCCGGGCATACCTGCTCCCGCCCCTGTGCTGAGCACCATGGGGCTGGCACACTTCTTCAAGGCAGTGCCTTGGTCCTGGCCACTGTCCCTTCTCCATTTTCCCCAGTGGGGAGCACAGGCAGGAGGCAGAGTGAGGGGACCCGACTTGCAGGAGTTGTTGTCAGGCCTCCTTCGATGGCAAAACCGGGACAGGAGGCACCAGAACATGCCCCAGCTGGAGAGGTCTCAAGCTGTTGAGTGGCATGGTGTGGGGGGCTGCACCGTCCAGAACAGGGAGTTGTGCCCCCTTCCACACTGGGCTCCTGGCCCAATGTGAAGGAAAGGCACTTTCCGCCTATAAGGTTAGCCACCTGTTGTTTTTTTTCTGGCCTGGGTTTTCAGAGTCCTGTATAAGGTCTTGAGCCTGTCAAGGCAATGTGTTTTGTAGTGAGGGGCATCCCCTTCAGGTCACAGTGGCCCCGCGGCAACCCAGGGAGGACATGTGTCCGACGTAAGGGAAAAAGACATTTGTGTTTACTCTGACATATAAAGCCCTAAACGGCTTAGGACCTGGTTACCTAAAGGACCGCCTTCTTCCATACGAGCCTGCCCGTCCTCTAAGATCAGGCCAGGAGGCCCTTTCCTGAAAGGTGCCATCCCTGAAAGAAGTGAGGGGGATGGCATGTCGGAATAGGGCCTTCTCGGCTGTTGCCCCCCGATTTTGGAACGCCCTCCCTATAGAGATCTGCATGGCTCCAACACTTGTGGCTTTTCGGTGCCAGGCAAAGACCTTTCTGTTTAGCCAGCATTTTAATTAAATAGTATTCTTTAGCTGGCCATATGAGAAGCAGGATTTATTAATATTAATGTTTTAATGACTGTTTTTAATATAGGGTATTATTATAATATTGCCTATTTTTAATGGTTTTAATGTTTTTAAAGTTTTAATATTGTTGTACGCTGCTCAGAGACCATTGGTAATGGTGCAGCTAGAAATCTTGTAAACAAACAAACAAACAAACAAACAAACAAACAAACAAACAAATAAATAAATAAATAAATAAATAAATACGCTGCTGGCTGGGGAAATGATTCAGTCATGGCCATGGGGTACATTTGGCTGGTATGATTAGGCCAAACCCTGCATAAATCTTTGTTTAGTTATGAACCTTAATCAAGAAAATAAAGATATTTTTCAGCTCTGAAAGAAGTTATTTTTTTGGATGACAGCTCTCAGAATACTCTAGCCAGTGGATAACTAGGTACAGAGCTTGGAAAAGTTATATTTTTGAATTAGAGAGGAATTTCCAGTCAGCATGTGAGTTCTGGGCATTAAAGTCCAATGGTAGCATTTCTACGTAAGCTCTGACTGGGATTCTGGAAGTTGTAGTCCAACCCCCCCCCCCAAAAAAAATACACATTCAAAGTCAAGGTTTACAAATCAGCATCATCTTTCACAATTCCTAAAAAAGGTAAATCTGTTTATTATCAAAACATTGTATCTTCGTGAATCTGTGTGTGAATTTGAGGTGAGGGACTATTTGCTATCTGTCTGTTTGTATTTTTTTAGTTGTAAGCCTACAGAAATATAATTGCACTACTCCTTTTCACAGTTCCAGCAGCTTAATCATCTCAAGAATGTTGGTTGTGACGGGGTGGGGTTGGAAATTTATATCAGAATTCATTGTATGTATCTATGTATTATTGGGACCCCACATTACTCACAGGTGCTCTGTGGATGGGCTGATTGGTTTTGTGAAACTTTCACTGCTGAATTTGATGCTTCTTCTTATTGATTTCTGGACAGGTATCGTTGTCTGAAGTGCCTGGACTTTGACCTTTGCCAAGTCTGTTTCTTAACAGGACAGTATTGCAAACCCCACAAGAAATCTCACCCTGTAATAGAACATTGTGTGCCAGTAAGTAAGTAATGAGTCCTTCCTTCCTTCCTTCCTTCCTTCCTTCCTTCCTTCCTTCCTTCCTTCCTTCCTTCCTTC